CAGGTTTCTGATTTAGTTACAGCCTTCATTCAGTGGAAAATTTGCTAATATTAAAAATAGAATCCATAATAATTCATAGTATGATGATTGCACTAAATTATCTATATTAGAAATTATTTATTTTATGTGTTTCGACACTGCATGTATGTCATCCATCACATACTTTAAGTTTATACTTAAAAAAAACACACAAATAAAAGTAAACACTGCTTTGTAATTAAGCAATAAACCTCAGATAAAATTTAATTTAAACAAGAAGATAAACATTTCTATAAATATGTAGTTTTGCAGACTATTTTAGTCTATTTTGAGAAATTATGTAGCAACTCACTTAATTATATATTTTTTTAATTTCTTATTACATTTTAGTTTAATTTTTCACGAGATGTTTATGTTCTCGTCTGAAGTCCAATTTCCTAATTTTATATTTTCTCTGCTTTAGTTAATACATGAAGAAGCCGACATGGACATAATAAACGTTGAAATACGAACACATTCAGACCAAGGAGGCTTCGAGGATCATCCAGATCAACCCACTTGCCAGAAAACTACGCCACAACACTATCAGGACAAGATTATACATCAAATATTCAGATTTTCAAAATCTCTAACCATTGTCCGAAGATTTTGTATGTTTGAGGTATTTTTTTTTGTAATCCTACAGTTTTACTTATTGACATTTTCAGGACAGGTGTAAAAATTACTACATGCGTTTTAAGTCATTCTGAATCGTCATTCCAAACCAAATTTGAACAAAATATATGTGTGTGGTTTTATGTGATCGAAAATTTGACTTTTACTCGACATTTTCTAAAAAACGTCTGCATCAATATCAAAGATTTAAAATCCATTATGCGCGACGATCAGTGGAGTCGTTTTTTATATTCAACAGATAAGTTCAAAATTTCTCTTCAGCTTTTCGCCAAAAATCCTGAACCGATTTGGAAAATTCGAATATTGTTTAAAATATATCAGTTGGAAATTGCGCTGATTCGTTTTAATCAGTTCGTTGTTTCAGGATGTTCTTCTCACAATATTAATTATCATTAAGATTTTTTGAACATTTAAATTAGACTTTGAATAATGATAACGTTCATGTTCTCAACAAGTATTTTAAAAATAATAGGGGTCTATAAATGAATAATAGTTTAGACATAAAAAATCATTAAATTTTGGAATAATGAGAATTGGATTGCATTGGTATATTATAAAGCGAAAAGAAAAGGAAGATATTTTAGAACATCTTTATTTTTACAGACGTTTCTATATATAATTTTATGCCATTGTCAGTGAATTTCAAAGAAACAAACATACAATATATTAATAACAAATTACTATAACTTACCCTACGGAAAGTTAAAAATTGTAGGGAAGACACATATGCATCGTATACATATATGTACATATAATTTTAACTGATAATTTAAAATTGATTCAAAATTACTTATTCATTACCGGTCGAATAGAGGTGGGCTGATTTTATTCATTTCTATGAGAAAATACAGAAGCTGATAATCACAATCGTAAAACATTCACAATCAATATCTAACATGATATTCACAATTGCATATTCTACATTTCTCATCTTTATTTGCGCCTAAATGATATTTATTTTTCTTAAATTGTATGAAAATACTACTAAGGTTTAACTAACACAATATTGAAGTCCAGTGATATGTAAAAGTATTTGTTTCTCATATGTTTATAAGTTTCGTAAGTATTATTTGTTGCAAATTCATCCGGACCCTAATAAAGCCTAACTAAGCATCCACGCCAATTACTAGTTCAAAATATTTAAAAACCAAAAAAAAACAAATATATTCATAAATGATAACCCCCTTTCTGCTCCAACTTTACTCTTAGAGGTATACTTTAATATAGGTATCCTATTAGTCTTTCTCTAACACTTCGAAATGCTTTACTTAGACCAATGCATACTGTGCAGCATCAGTATGAGTTGAATATTTATCTGAAGCATCACAATCAGTCCAGCTATATCTATTTATAACAAGAGAGATCGTGCTTACATGCTGAACATACATCATACTCATCTATCATTTTATTCTTAAATCTAACAAATAATTAATAATTCTTACACTTTTGTTTTAGTTTCTCTCTGGTCATGGTGACTTCCACCACAACAAAATATATCTAGGTTTGAATCTGGATCCATTAGATTATCATAGGCATCAAGAAAGTTGCAAAAAAAAACAAATTGCAAAATACGAATTAGTGGCGAAAAATTAGATCTAAGAAGATTCTCAACCAAAGTCTCATCTTCACTTCTGCTGTTTCAACAAACCCAATTCACCGAATAGCACCTTGTGGTCAACACTTCGGCAGGAACCAGAATTAGAACGTTCATGCTCTGGAGATAACAAGCGTTAGGTATAAAAATTTAGAAATAGTCGTAAATAGATAATATAAATCTTAAATGTAATGCAAAACAACTGGAATTGACGAAAAGAAAATTGACACCACAGTACAAATTGATCAATAAAAAAGAAATTGGTGTTCAACATATAGATTTCAATCAATATTCACATTTAATTTTCATGCTCCATTCTGTAATTTCATTCTTTTCTATTAATAAATAAATGAAAAAGTCTATTTAAAAATGTATTTTATATTTCAATAAATTATATAATATGTACACAAATGTATATACATACTCGTATGTGCTATATTATTATGTAAAATATTTAATAATATTTGCCTAAATATGTATAGCACTAGTGTGTAGATATATATATATATATATATATATATATGTATATATATATTTATAAATATATACATATACAGTAAAGTCTCGATATAAAAAATTCTCGTACGGTTACATTTTTTCAATTAGGTAATTGTAGAACCCTTTGAAACTAACTTGAGCTTAACTTTACTTAACAGAATCTTTATATCAGACTTCACTATATATATATATATATATATATATATATATATATATATATATATATAATATTTAACACACATGCATACATATGATTGTATATACATAAATAATTAATTTGAATATAATTAAAAATAACATTTTAATATTCATCTAAGTTACATGACTATTGGTAACGGTTTGTTCGTTTTCTTCATCAAAACATTAAATAAAAAAGAGTTTTAAATTTTCAACAAAAGTTATCCTATACATATAGATATAGATATATATGTACCAATTATTATTTAATTTTAATTATAAAATTTAAACATTTATACATAGATTTATGCATTTGGTCCTAATATATTATATACAACTTTTAATTTTATATAATATTATGTTTGATTAAAAAGTACATATTTATTATAACATTCTGAAATCTAATAAGTATTTATAGAACTCTTAAATATAGTAATTGATTTTTTACAACAATAAAATATACATATATAAGCAAAATTTTATATGTACACTTTATTTATAAGTATGTGAATATATAGGTGTTTATTACCTATAGTAATATACAGAAATGTTCCCTTATACCCTCTGTACAAATGACAAACACTTTGTTAAAAAAATTTGCACATACGCTGATATATATATACATATATGAACACATCATATATACATATATGAATACATATATACATATGAATGCAGATTTACATATATTATTACAGGAAACCTCATAACTATAGTTCGCTTTTGTAATATATCACAGATAATTAATTTTTCTATCATCAAACAAATACAAAAATATGTACAATATAAAAAAATGTATATCCATACATCAATTTATAATCATGTACATTTATTCATAAATTTGATTTGTATAATATTTATCTTTCACTAAGAGACAACTGGGGTTTAATAATAAATAAATAAAACTTAAAAAATTTGAAAACAAATAGATACCGCAGTAATTGTTTCAATACGTATGTTTTCCTTTTACGTATTAAATCTATGAAATTGACAGAAGTAGATGTAAAATTGACATTAGTAGATTAACTAAATAAGTTTAACAAAATATTTAGGAAAATATATATATCACATTGTTCATTTTGTAATTGAAATACTGTATTGGATATTTCATGCAAATTGTTGTAGTAAATTATTTCTTCATATTGAAAATACTTGTACATATCTAGTTTACCAATACAAGTCATTGTGAAAAGGAAGTTTATAATAAATTGCTCAATTTTTATACTAAACTAAATATAGGTAATTACATTAAGCTATCACGATCAAAATGCTTTAAATATATATATATACAATTCTGAATTATATGAATTGATTGAACTTGATAATATTTGTATCCCAAGATTGTTTTTCATACAATCATTTATAAATTGTGAACGATTTAAAAAAATTATTCTATCTATAAATTTATAAAAAATCAGGACTTTTGCTATTGGTAAGTATATTATACATATTTAAAATTGAGCAACTTTTAATACTAGCTTTTTCCTGAATTTGCATTTTTATCATATCCACGACATGTAAATTCAACCAAAATTTTATATTGAGTATGATTTTTTAGAAGAAATAATATCAATTTGCAACAAGCAATAAAATTATTTTGTAATCTCTGATAATGATTATTGGCCTTTGAAATTAAATAAAATTGTAAACGTAATTGTGTTGTGCGGGCCTTTTTCTATAATTTAATAATAACTAGAAATAAAATAAACTAAACTACTAAACTATGCATCAAACAATAAAATTAATAAAATGGCTTTAAATTAAATCTTTTTGCAGGATTAAGTTTTGAACCGCAGTATGAAGATTGAGAAAGAAATTTAAGAAAATGGTATCATAATACTTTTCTATTATTTTTTTCTTTCTGCAATATTAAATCACCAAATGTAAATTTTTAACAATAATAGCGCAATTATTAGCAAAATTTCGAATATTTATTCGGCTTATATCGAATCGAAAAAATATCGATTCTTAAAAATATTAATTTACAATAACAGTTCAAAATTTTCCCGCTGGTGGCGCTAATCACGCGGATATTAGCGGAATGAAGCTAATTCTGACAGTGCAAAAATCTCGTTGCGTATCGCCGGTTATTTTAATTGTGTTGTTAAAGACGAAAAGACTTAAAGACGTTTTAAGTGTTTAAATTTAAAGTTTAAAAGACGTTAAAGTGTTTTAAAGTTTGTGATAAAAACTATTTCTTAACAGTTATCATATATATAGAATCTCCATCAAGTTTCCAAGGAGGTTATCAAACCATGAAAACTAGAACCACTGATATCCGCCAAAATGGCGGCTTGGCCGCAACTATCTAAACATTTATTATTTCTTTTATTGTTATTTGTGGTTTGTTCTTGAGTGTCTTGTGTGGGATTTTCATCATTTGAACCCCCTTGATGTGCAGAAGTCCCGGGACTACCGAGCCGTAAAGCATCCAGAATAATTTCAAAATCGGATTTCAGGTTAGTGCCATTTTCATTTTGTTCTTGCAAACTATTTGTGTTTTTCTCAATGTCATTGTCACATTTTGTGTTCATACTTGATTTTATATCCTCCATTTTGATTTCGCAATCAGTTTTACCGTTTTCTAAATTATTTGTGAACGCATGTTTTTCGGCGGTTTTGTTCAAGTAATCAAAATTTGACATGACATTGTGCAATTGGTTATCTACTTTCAATCGTTTGTCCGATGCATCAGCATTTGTTAGATGTTTTCTTTTTAAAGTGTTTTGTACATCAAATGCATTTTCATTAGACGTTTGAATTATGTTCGATTCCAAATTGCATTCATCGAGCTTGAATTTTTTAATTTCGGGCTCGATGTCTTCTATGGCGGTTACGGGTTTAGTAGCCGGCTGCTGGGAGTATAAATGTGATAGAACCTCCTGCAAATAGAAACAATAATTAGTAATTTTTAATCAAACTAATTGAAAATATTAGATTACTAAGAATGATTAATCATGTTCTATTAAGTTATTGACAAGTGAACGTTTGTCGAGGCCCTCGATTTAAAAACCATGTGTCAGTTAGGTTAGGTTATTCGAATAGTACTTGTCTCTGCAAATCATACATTCTACCTCCACGATAGCTTTTTTAATCTTTGAAAATAATTTTAAAGATTCCTTCTCATAAAATATGTGACTAAAACAAACATAATATATATGTATTCAAAAAACAATTTCTTGTCAGTCAGGTTAGGTTATTCGAATAGTAATTGTCTCCGAAGATCATATATTCTACCTCCTCATAGCTTTTAATCTTTGAAAATAATTTTAAAATTCCTATCTTGCTTAAATATGTGACTAAAACAAACATAATTCAAACATATATTTCTATATATGTATTCAAAAAAAATTTGTTAGTCAGGTTAGATTATTCGAATAGTACTTATATCTGCAGACCATAGATTCTACCTTGATGATAACTTTGTTTTAATATTTGAAAACAATTTTATAGATTTCTTTCTTACTAATATAAATGTGATTAATAAATATAAAATATTTCATAGGCAACAATGTATTAAATATAAAATAAAACCAACAACAAACATATATTTCTATATATGTATTCAAAAAACAATTTCTTGTCAGTCAGGCTAGGTTATTCGAATAGTAATGGTCTCTGCAGATCATAGATTCGACCTTGACGATAACTTTGTTTTAATCTTTGAATATAATTTCAAGGATTCCTTTCGTGGTTGATAATTATAAAATATATCATAGGCATCAATGTATCAAATATGTGACTAAAATAAACATATATTTCTGGATATGTACTCAAAAAATAATTTGTCAGTCAGGTTAGGTTATTCGAATAGTACTTGTCTCTGCAAATTATAGATTCTACCTTGACGATAGCTCGTTTTAATGTTTGAAATAATTTTAAAGATTCCTTTCTTACTAATATAGTTGTGGTCGATAAATATAAAATATTTCGTAGGCAACAATGAATTAAATATGTGACTAAAACAAACATAATACAAACATATTTCTATATATGTATTCAAAAAACCATTTCTTGTCAGTCAGGTTAGGTTATTCGAATAGCAATGGTCTCTGCAAAACATATTCTACTTCCACGATAGCATTTTTTAATCTTTGAAAATAATTTTAAGGATTCCTTTCTTACTAAAATAAATGTGGTCGATAAATATAAAATATTTCATAGGCAACAATGAGTTAAATATATAAATAAAACAAACAACAAACATATATTTCTATATATGTATTCAAAAAACAATTTGTCAGTCAGGTTAGGTTATTCGAATAGCAATGGTCTCTGCAAATCATATTCTACCTCCACGATAGCTTTTTTTAATCTTTCAAAATAATTTTAAGGATTTCTTTCTTACTCAAATAAATGTGGTTGATAAATATAAAATATTTCATAGGCATCAGTGTATTAAATATACTATAACAAGCATATTTCTATATATGTATTCAAAAAACAATTTCTTGTCAGTCAGGTTAGGTTATTTAAATAGTACTTGTCTCTGCAGATCATAGATTCTACCCCACGATAGCTTTTTTTAATCTTTAAAAATAATTGTAAAGGTTCCTTTCTTACTAATATAATTATGGTTGATAAATATAAAATATTTTATAGGCAACAATGTATTAAATATGTGACTAAATCAAACATAATGCAAACATATATTTCTATATATGTATTCAAAAAACAATTTCTTGTCAGTCAGGTTAGGTTATTCGAATAGTAATGGTCTCTGCAGATCATAGATTCTACTCCCACAATAGCTTTTTTTTTAATATTTAAAAATAATTGTAAAGGTTCCTTCCTTGCTAATATAATTGTGGTTGATAAATATAAAATATTTCATAGGCATCAGTGTATTAAATAATATATACTAAAACAAGCATATTTCTATATATGTATTCAAAAAACAATTTGTCAGTCAGGTTAGGTTATTTGAATAGTACTTGTCTCTGCAGATCCACAATAGCGTTTTTTAATCTTTGAAAATAATTTTAAGGATTCCTTTCTTACTAAAATAAATGTGGTTGATAAATATAAAATATTTTATATAGGCATCAGTGTATTAAATAATATATACTAAAACAAGCATAGTTCTATATATGTATTCAAAAAACAATTTGTCAGTCAGGTTAGGTTATTCAAATAGTAATTGTCTCTGCAGATCATATATTCTACCTCCACGATAGCTTTTTCTAATCTTTGAAAATAATTTTAATAATTCCTTTCTTACTAACATAAAAAGAGTTGATAACTATAAAATATTTCATATGCAATAATGTATTAAATATATGATTAAAACAAACATATATTGAAAAATGAAAATGAAAACTCTAGTCTGAGTGAAGTTTTATATATCATTATATTTGTATAATTATTATTAATTAAATACTTAAGACACCTATCATACATATAAAAACATTTATCAGATTAGTGAATAAATTTGATTCACAATTTATCTGTTTAATTATTTCAATTTACATTCCTAATAAATGCTTCATGCCCTCATTTAATTAATCATTGTCTTTTTAACTATGTATACAGCTTAAAGTCTTTAAGTAAAGATAATTTCAATTTACCTGCACCAATTTGTCATCAACTTCTTCGTGCGTCCGCTTCCTCAAGCCATCGTGTTGAGCAACCTCTTTATTTTCAAATAATTGCATATCAACGTCTTTAGCTTCAGCACTTCTGTCTGCTTGTAATTCTACTTCATGTGGTGATTTATATTCTATATTAGTCTTGTCATCGGTTTCTCTAAATAGATTGTTGTCGTTTTGCCTTAGATCAATCTTTTGATCAAATTCATATGGTGTTCCGCATACATCGATTTCAGCTTCTTCAACACAATTCTTTTGCTGGTTTTCTATACTGTAAATATCTTTATAGTCAACAGTTTTGCTTGCACTTGAATTGGATGTATCTATATTTTGCTGATTTGTTACTTCAGCCAAATAGCTTCCACTATCTTCTTTGAAAGGTTGTTTTTCCATCTCATAACTAGTGTTGTTTTGGTAAATATTGCTGGAACAATTAATGTTCTTGTTTTCTGCCAAGGCATAATCATCACTGTATTTTTGATACATGCCTAAATCTTTTTCAGTGTACATGCCATTTGGTGTATTAATGTCACTATAGGTAATTTGTTTTGGACTACCATAAACATTTATTTGATTTGATTCATCAAATCTTGATTCTTTCATATTATCATAAGTTAAATTAAAATCAGAACTTGCAACTTTCTCAGCATCTTCTTTGACTATATCAAAACCAACATTTTTAATATTTTCATAAGTCAAATCATAGTTGCTACTTGCTACTTTCTCAGGTTCATTGTAAGTTCCAGAGTTGTAACTCATATCAATAGATGTTGTTTGACTTAATTTGTTGTATTCCATATTCAATTGACCTTCATTCATCAAACTATTTGATGCAGGATTCGTAAGATTATAATTCATACTATCCATTGTGTTATTATATTTCATATCTAAACCATTGTTATATCCGTAAGACCTTAAAACATCTTCACTGGGTCTTATGGAAATCTTTTCTCTTTCCAAATTGCTATCAAAGCTATCAGAGATGGCAGATAATTCTCTGTCAATTTTTTCTAGATCATTTTCATGATGATTTGAATTGAGCATTGAATCAATTGAAGGTAGTGGTGTTATACTTCTCGGTTGATCCAGCTGCTGGAATTGACGTAACTGTTGTTCATGCTTGCCTTGTTTCTCCCTTCGGACCTCAGCCTGGAAATAATACATTTTATCATTAATAATAGATATATATTTAAAAATTAAACATCATTATATTCTATTAAAGAAAAATTATTCAATTTTATTTATAGAATTGACAGTATAGTTCATCATGTTTATTATTTCACTTAGTGGCTTTATTCGATAATTGTTCTATAGCTGAAGATTTTGTTATTGGTTGACAGCCAATTGGTTGACTATATTAATTGTATGATAATTTTAATCAATATGTAATGAAACCAGCTAGCTTCTATTTAAGACCAGAACATTTTCAACATGTTTGAAATTTACAATTCTGATTGATAATAATTAGAAGAAATGATAGATCTGGTATATGTACCTGTAACCTATAATAGGTGTTATTAATGCACACGCTCCGCCTCAAATCAGAATCAGGATCCCTTATCCTCTCCAATTTCTCTCCACAAAGCCTGATAACTCTCCGCCTCTCTTCCTTGAGCCTCAACCTGGCAGAAATCATTGGTACTCTCGTCTTACTCCTGGGAGGTGGTGATGTTACAGAATGGTTTCGTGGTGGCCCAAACATATCAGATTCTGATTCATCAGAATCTGATGAGGATGATGAAGAAGAAGTCGTATGAGAATTGTCTGATTCTGAGGAATGATCAAACGGTGAGGGATGGTGGATTAAAGGTTCTGTGGATGTTCCATATGAGGAACTTAATGGAGGAGCACTGGTGCTTAATGAGGTATTACAAGGTTGAGAGGTTTCTGGATGACTTCCAGCTCCTGGAATATTTGAAGTTGAAGAAGTTTCATCTGGATTTCTATTATCAAGTTGAGATAATTCTTGATTAGTTTCGGAAACACCTAAGCTCATAGCTTCACATCCAGTTTCTACTTTGGGCAATCTGCTCTCAGAGGTTTCATCAACCGAAGTTTCTGGTTCTTGACCTAGCCTTGATATTGATGCATCTTCTTCAGATATCCGTTCATTTGGTAAATTTGATTCAGCGATTTGGCCATTGGAATTATTTTTATATTCGGCGTCGTCGCCGTTGCCGTCCATCGGCGAGTTATAGAAATTTGGTGGTGAAAAGGCGGTGGCCTCTGAAGCTTGGGTAGTCTGCACGTCATCTTCCACGGGTGGCATGATCACGAACACCTGGGGAAATGGATACATATAATATTGATTCATTGTTACATGGATTATAGAATAATATAAAGTAATGGTAATTGTTAAGTTTGAGGTAAGTTAGGTAAGGGTACGAACTAGAGACTTTGTCTCTAAGGAAGACCTGCATTGAAGTGGAATAGGAAAAATATTTGGTGACAATTGTGGAAAGAGAAGGAAAGTGGATCGGAGTCACATTTTTAATAGAAGGACATTGAATGAATTGAATTGAAATGAATGAAGGAGATAATGCAGATATTTATTGACTTAGGCAAGACAGAAATTATTAAAAAAAATTGAATGAAAAGACGAGACATAGAATGCGTAAGTTTGAGACTTGTGGCACCGCATTGAAAAAAGTCAATTTGAGACAAACGTATTTAAAGTTTTTAATATAATGTACTAAATACACCATTTAATTTAATGTACAAAATACACCAAGGTGTTCAAAGATGCTGACACACTAAAAAGGTCATGTGCATGAGGTATTATAATGAAAAAGAGAGCAGCTGGCATACAATAGCTCGCGGAGCGATGAAAAAAACGGTTTCAGAGGATCATACATATAGATATATATATCCATAACTTCGTGAAAAAAAATAGATATTGAGATGATTTTTTTTAAATAATTCTAAGGTTTTTCAATTTCAATTTTCAATTTTCAAGCTTTCATAATATCAAAAAATCTCAAAAAATCTCAAAATAAAAAAAATAAATAAATAAAACCAAACAACCTCCTTAAAGGGTTGTGTCAGTATACAATATGTGTGTATATCTTATATATATAAAATTCTTCTGTACGTGTGTATGATTCGATACTTCTCCTAAACGGTTATTCGGAATTTGATAATTCTTTTCAGAGTTTATCAAAGGGATTTTTAAGATTTAATGAACGATAAAACTATAGCAATATTGTATAAATAAATAGCAAAAATTACAAAAAAAAACACTCATCATTGTTTGACATTGAAAACATTTGAACTAGGATAGGATATTAAAAAATTTGGAATTTTGGAATTGTAGACGTGGGTACAGGACAATCTGTCGGCTCATCTAGTATATATATATATATATATATATATATATATATATGCATTTGTATACATATACAATCATTTAATTGTATACTATATCTGGTTTGCCATTTTAGGACAAGTTCATGTACGCGACGTGGCACACGCGACCTCGAACCACTTTATTTGAATAAATTTGTGAAGATACCCATGCAATGTAGAAATAAATTTAGATATCGCGTATTTGTATATATATATATATATATATATATATATATTATATATAAAGTAAAATACGTATTAAATTTGTTTTTCTGATTCGTCATTAAATTTATATTAGACTTGAAATTATATTTAAAATTTCAATACGATTTTTATAGATAATATTTTAAACTAGTTTTCATCCTTCTTCCTTGACCCAGTATTAGATACTTCAAATCAAATCTATTTTTACCATTTATTTTTGACAAAATTTGTTATCCATTCCATTATATTTACACAGTTCTTTAAAGCAACTTCTTGTCAATGCGGAATAATATTATCGAATACCGACTATTCCAAGTATCCAAGATTATTTTGCATAACATGTGCAAGTTTAAACAACAGTCAGTGTGTGATATTAAATGAATATCAAACACAGTTGAGAAATGAATTTAATTGCAATAATGTTTGAAATCATTACGTTTAGAATTCGTAAAATTATAAATGAATGAGTAGTGTTCTGCAACTTAGTGTCGAGGAAACAATTAGAATTATTTGGTATTACCAAATTGGAAAGCATTATACAAATATTTATATAATTTTATACCATAAATGATGTGATGATATAAATAATATAACTGATGTTATCGCAAAATATTAATTCTCATAAATTTCAAAAACAAGTTGTCCCATAGTTTATGATATTTGTTTTATCATACATCATAATATTATGTTCCCCAGAAACTGATCATATAATCATTGATAAGACCATAATAATATATGATTCTAATAATTTACTTATAAGTTAATGAATATAATTTTAAGCTATTAGGTTTGTGCGACATAATTTAAAAGCTTTTATACTTGATTGACAATCTACATAAACGTAATTTGAACCAATTAAATAATAAGTATGATATTCTATTAAAACCAATTACTACTTTACATTTCATTTGGTCATAATCCTTATTAGAATCCTTTCACTTCTACAAATGTCATAAAATTCAAATTATACATACATACATACATACATATCATACATTTATATACATTCATATATATTCATATGCATTAATATACATACGTTCGCATTCATATACATACATACGCATTCATATACATTTATATACATGCATACGAATTCATATACATTAATATACATTCATATACATATGCATTCATATACATATACATTCATACATACGCTTTTATATACGTACATATACATACGCATTTGTATACATACACATACACATACGTTTATATACATACGGAAGTTTTTTCTGGATAATTAATATTATTCATCAACTATTATTATTTTATTTATTTTTTTTGATATTTTTTTTTTCTTCTCAAAAAACCTTAATATTTCATTTATAATTAATTCTACGTTTCGGTATCTAAAAATTTTAAAACAATTCTTAACTTCTGGAAAAAATCATAGTTCTGAGTAAAAACTAAAGTTTTGCACTTGAAATTCAGATAAAAAATTTAATCCTTCTAAATTTGAATTAATCTACATATTCCCCAGAAATAATTTAACTGATAATACTTCATCAGTTATAGGTGTATATAAAACTACTGAAAATATCATTTTAAAAAATAAAACGATATTTCTGAAAAGTTTCAAACGGAGCCAGGTGCATTATTTAGACTTGTTTCTAACACTCAACTAATGTTTGGGGCTCAGGGTTGTTCCTGGAAGCACCCGAGGTGCTTTCCGATACTTTTTTAAAATACATATTAATTTTGTTAATCGAAGTTGTTGAAAGTTGCTAGTGAAATAATTCATCATGTCTTCAAATGAATTCTTTTTAAAGGTCATAAATTCATATCACATTCGTTCCTAAACCAATACCAACCTATGCATATTTTGAGTAATGAATGTTTTTCATTCAAAATATTTTCAAAAAAATATTTATTTTATTATTACAATTTATTCAAAAAATATTTTATTAGTAAATTTTATTATTTTAATGACAAAAAATTATATTTATATATCTTTTTAAATCTATATTTTAGATAGTTTATTTCACATTTTTGAGACGTCTTGAACTTTCAATAATATAGTACTGCAAAGATTTTGTATAAAATATTTTCATTTTTTTGTGTTCTTCTTACAATACTCTTTATTCCAGTGGTTTCCAACCTTCTTTTGTTGGTATTCTCTCCCTCCCACCGTTTTTTTAAAATAAAGCAGCGTTTTTTTTAATATTTCATACAATCTAATTGTATTTATACTCAGTGGATATTATAATTCATTTACCAGACAATAAATTAATTTAAAATATTGTATCAAAATATATATAACATATATTTATTCATTAATTTTTTATATTATTTCGGCGTTTTTGGTTTTTGATTTACATATAAAACCTTCCCTACATAACGAGCAAATGTGAAATAACAATTTTATCGTAAGTGGAACTTTCTGAAAACTATTTGAGAACACATACGTGAAGTTAGGCTTTATGTGCAAAACGCCTGATAGCACAGCAAATACGCAGCTTTTTTAATTGGTTGTTCGTTACTACCAACTCATACGAACATAGACCAATAACATAGCATTAACATATTTGAATTTTATTCAAGAATTGGCCCCTAATATAACTAAATCAGCAATACATTGACAATACATAACATTTTGGTTAAATCTAATTCAATGTTTATATATTTCGTTTAGATAGTATATTATTGACACATGCTTAAACACTATCGACATCCCCTTATTTCTTGACAATTGATAAAGACGAAGTGAATACTTAAATCTTTTGATTTGCATGTTCAGCCGATCGGAAAATGTGGACTCGTTTCGAACTGCGTACGTATATCCGCGCGCTTTGCTTTGCACATACTTGAAGCGCTCATATCATATCCTAACAGTATGTATAGAAACTCGTCTTTTCAGTCGATAGGGAAATATTTAATAATTTTATGGTGATCTTTTCCGTAAGAGTTGCACAAAATATTTTAAGGTTTTCCTATCATTATTAATAAAAATGAATTTAAAAATTAATAATTATACTTCTAAATAACTAAAAACCGCAATAACAAATTAGAATTCTTAATCATTTAACTCAAAGTTATCAATCTTAAAGCAAAAGTTGATTTACTGTATGTCGCCTATCAATAGGCGACACATAACAGAAGGATTAATGCCGTTGTTTCCAACCTGTGCGGCGCGCCCCCTTTTTAGCGCACTGAAAGCGTACAGTTGCTTTCAAAATACTATTTTAAAAAAAATAAACCAAAAACGTTGAAATAATATAAAAAATTAATGAATAAATATGTTTTATATATATTTTGATATAATATTTTATATTAATTTATTGCCTGGTAAATGAATTATAATATCCGCTGAGTATAAATAAAATTAGATTGTATGAAATATTAAAAAAAAAACGCTGCATTATTCTAATTGATTCTTGGTAGTTTGTTACTACCACCTTAACCCAGTATTACTATAACATTTCTATTTTATCCAATAATTGGCCCCTGAATGTAACTAAATCAGCAATACACAGTCGAGATGGATTTTTATATAACACTCTCTCCATTATGCTCCTCAAATTCTACGTTTTTTCCTTCAACACAACGTAATGAAAGTAGAATAGTGACTATGTGTATTTTAACCACATTTTACTTTGTGACGCTAAATTAGCAAAAGTATTACACCATCATGAAATATTCTAGTATATTATAAGTATAGGTATACGTATATTATTAATGATATAATATATACATATAAAATTTTATTTAATATACATATAAATGTATGTAATATGTAAACCGAAAATATATCATGGACCA